AGTGGCGCAGGACTGGGCCATCCTGCTCCGCCTCACCCTCGGCCCCTGTGTGCCCGCAGTCCTGAGGGCGTGGGCTGTTTGCTGAGCACCCCTGCGGTGAGGCCGGGCGGGCGACTGACTGCACATCTGGTCCTCTGTCCAGTCTGGAGGTGAGGCAGCTGCTGCAGGCCAAGGCCGACGTGGAGAAGGAGCTGGAGGAGGTGCGGCGAGAAGAGGAGGCCAGGCGAGCGCGGGAGGCGGCTCTGAGGTAAGCGAGCGGAGCCAGTGGGTGTGGCCTCCCCCCAGGTAGGCCAGTCAGCAAGCTGTCCCGGCGCCTCTGCGCCCACACACTTCACCCCCCGCGCCCCCGTCAGGCCTTCTGGGGATGGTGCCTCCCACACCCGCCCTTGTCCACCACAGCCCCTAAGCGGAAGCAACCCAGATGTCCACCGGCGGATGAATAGAGAAAAATCGGAGGTGTCCATACCAGGGCACGAGAGGGATGCAGCCTGGCATGCACCCAGCATGGATGGGCCTCAGAACCGTGTCCACGGGAGCGGCAGGCAGACAGGCCACTGTTGACCCGACACGTCCAGAGCAGGCCGGGCAGGGCAGGGCAGGCAGTGGTCAGTGGTTGCAGGGCTAGGCCAGGGCGTGGGGGTGACAGACGGGTGTGGGGCTCTGGGGCGATGGGAACCCTCGGGTCCTAGAATTAGGCAGGGGTGGCGGCCCCCAACACCGTGAATGTATGGACACGGGCTGTGCACTTTGGCTTTCACGTCAGTGAAAAAGGCCCCCACGAGTAGAAATCTGAGCAGAAACACTTACACTCAGAGCAATTACTAAGGCAGGTTGCTGAAACAAACTTTATTTTTACAAAAGTTTATTCTTAAATGTACACCAAGACAGCACTCCATTCCAGCTGTAGTAGCAAGAGATGCTAAAACAGGAGTGGAATCGGGTCACCACTGCCCCAGGCCCCAGGGACAGCTCACTTTGCCAGATTTCTTATTCCCCCGGCGGTCGGGCCCTTCCCCTGGCAGAGGCCCTCCTGTGGCCTCGCTCTCAGCGCCGGGAGGGCCTCCGGCTCCTCTTTCTGCTTCTGCTCGAACGCCTTGTCTTCTCCATCGCCGTGGCCTCTGCGTGGCTGCCCAGGGGCTGCTGGCCACCTTCGTGGCAGACAGGGCGCCGGCCCCTCCCTGGACCCTGCCACCGGGACCGAATGAGCGTTTGTTCTCAGACGAAAGGCGCAGCTTTGGTGCCGGCTGGGCGACCAGAGGGCAGGTCACAGCGCAGAGGCGTTCACGTCCCTTAAAAGCCACGGCGGGTGCACGTCCTCTGTGCACGTTGCCTGCTTACACCCGCCCAGCACCTGCCCACACTGCATAGTCAGCGCCGCTTCCGTTCTCGCCGGGCCAGAGCGATGCTGGGGGGCCAGCCCCACGGCGCTCCCTCCCGACGGGACAGACACCTGGTGCCCCGTGTGGGTGCTGCCTGGCAGCTGGGCCCCCACCACGCGTCTGCTGCCAGATGTCCACACGCGGACACTGCGCACCGCGTGAGGCCAAAGGTTGTCCCTGTCCCCTTCCCACTAGAGAGGAGATCCAAGCACTGACCCGGAAGTGTCAGGACCTGCAGGCAGCGAAGGAGGCAGAGGAAGACGACCCCACGGAGGGGACCCCTGAGGTACGGCCTCTCCGGGAGGCTCACTCCAGCCACGTGTCCCCCGGAGCTCTCACTCGGGGGCGAGGACGGCGCTCGTGGCGGCTTTTAAGGGGTGTCCTGCAGGCAATGCGTGTGGGCCCCCAAGTGCCCCAGTCGGGCTTACTCTGACCGTCACAGCAGCCACTACGGCTTCTCCTTCAAAGCCAGGCTAGGAACGGCCTTCACCCCGAAGGCCCACTTCTGTGACGGCCTCCGCAGAGGACGAAAGGGCCTGGGAAGCTGGTCCTTCTTGCGCTCTGCAAAGCTGCTGGGCTGCCTCCCGGAGCCCGCGTCCCG